GTGGGATGGGGGGGTTTGGGTCGGACACCGCGGCGCGGAGGGGGGGGTTCAGACCCTCCGCCCCTCCGTGCCCCGCGGCCGCGCATGGCCCCGTGTAACCCCGCGGGGGCGGCCGCGGGCCCGGCAGCCGCCGCCTCCTCCGAGGGCAGGGAGGAAGCGGCCCTTCTCCTCCCCGAGATAAGCGCGATTTGCATTTTAAATGACTCGGAGCACGCCCCTAACACACGCGATGGGACCGGAAAGTTTGTCCTCCGCGCATCTCCCAGGAAATAGAGACGTGCGCGCGTTTGTGCGTCTTTAAATCCGACAGAGAGGAGCGGCGATCGGCCCGGCTGGTTTGTTTTGAACAGCATCGAGGTTCCTGGTCTCATCTGGCGTGTCCGTGTTGCCGTCTATTATTATCCCATCCATCTCCCCCCGTGTCCCGACCCCTTCCTGCGCCGCTCTCCCCGCTGTCCGGCCGCACGAAACGCCTCCCGCGTCAGGCGCGGCTCCGGGGGTCCGCAGGTGGAGCTTTCTCCTCCTTTTTCCCGTGCTTGTGCTGAGAGCAGGTGATGGGAGAGGGGATGAAAGAGGAAGCGAAGCCGGTCAGGGTTGCTCTGTGCTCTGTCGGTGCTCAGCATCTCCTGGTTGCCTCCGTGTGGGGTCTCTCTGGAAGGACGTTTGGCTTCTGAATGCCGGTGGTGCAGCTCTTCCATTCCTCCCATCGAACTGCATGCGAGGGAGTGGTTTCATTCACCGCTGTTTTTGGAGGGAGGTAAAGGATGCTGACATCCACGTGCTGCTGCCGAGGTTCATCTGGACGCTTCGATTTGGTGGCAGGAATGGTTTCAAATTGTGGCATGCGAGGCTGCGTGCTTCTGGGCCCCACGGCCACGGAGATGGATGTGTTGGCTGCTAACAGCAGGCAGGTCGTGTTGATTTGGTAGAGCTGGAGCATGTTGGAAGAGCCCCTGGGAGAGCACTGCTGGTGTGGTTGGAAAGCACAGCCATGTAAGTAGGATGTAGCAGCTCATGGGGAGCAGAGCAGTGTGCTGTGGCTGCTCACAACACCTTCAGTCTGCGCCCCAAGCACAGCAGCACTGCGGTGTTTTGCTGGGCTTCGGGTTCCTAAAGAGAAGCAAACCATTGTGGGAGTTCATCTCATCTCCTTCCCCATGGCCACACGCTGTGTTTGACGCCTGAATAGCTGCAGAACCAAAGCAGGGCTCAGTGAGGAACCCCCTCTCAGCATAGAGCTGAATTAAAAACCACCAGTACCGCTTGTGTGACAACGCTACCACATCCCTCCAGCCAAAAAAAAAAAAGAAAAGAAATAATTCAAGACCTTAACAAAAATTGGAAACGAAATCTCCAAGAAGAACATTTGCAGATGACGTTTTCAGCTCTGCCTTATTGACAGCCTGCTTTTCTCCTTGTTTTCTTCCCCGTTTTCCTTTTGGAAGCAGCGGGCACAGAAGCTCACGCTGGCTCCAGCTGAGTGCTTGCTGTTGGCCCTGAGCCTGTTGCTAAAGATGGACCCTCGGCAGGCTCCTCTGTCATTGCTTTCATGTAGTTTCTATTTCCTTGTGTCTGTGCCTTGGCTCATCTTGCAGTCGGCTCTCTCAGTTTAACTCCAGCGTTGCGTTCGTTCTCCTGGCTGAAGTAGAATAGAAGACATTGGAGAGATGGAGAGAGGCTGCTGCGGGTCGTGGCTGCTCCTTTCCCCGGGGACAGCACCGGATTGCTTCCAGCAGGATATTTTCAGATGCTTTGTCCAACCTAGTTTCAAATGTCTCGAGTGGCCGGGATTCCATTCCAACTGCCAGCTCGCATCTGAAAGTGGAATACAGGAGATAGAATTTGCTCTTTCCTGGGAGAATTCCCCCACCTGGACACACACAGCTTTGTTTCTTACCCCTATCTCTACCAGCTCTGTTGCTATAAACCCACCTGTGCGGTGCTCAGGTTCCCTCAAGGCCTCAACAGAGAGCATCCATGGGCAGACAGAGGGAGAAGGTGATGTGCTTCAAGCAGCACTGCCCTGTGGGACGAGGAGATGAATGTTAGAGGTGTGGGAGCTGCAGCTTGCAGGGGGAAACCTCTGAGACAATCCATAGTGTGCAAAGCAAGAGGGGCGCCTGGTGCAGCAGGGTGAGGAAGCAGTTTTGTTGGGAGATGGAGTTAGCACAGCCTGTTCCTGAGGTGCTCCTGAATACCCGAATTTGGTGCTCTTCCCTTCACCGTGCTGAGATCGTATCTTACTGTTAATTATGGTGAGGGTGCTTAGCAGCCATCTATGGGGCAGTGTTAGATTCAGTGTTAGATCCAGATGGCTGGCGATGCTTGCAAAGTTAAGGGGTAAGAATTGACCCCATTTGTGTTCATTGGGCAGAACTGGTCCCGGTCTCTGAAGTGCTGCATTCCCACTCAGGGCAGATTCTCACTGGAATGCTTCACTCTGGGTGTGAGCTCGTTGCATCACTGTGTCATGCTGGACCTCTCACTGTGGGCTGCCTGCTGTTGTTGGGTGTGGAAACGAGGAAGGGGAAGAGAATGCTGCTCGAGTGTAATTCTTGGTTCTGTTACCCACTTCTGACTGATAAGACCCGATTTGGTCCATTCAAAGGTGGTCAGATGAATGTTTCTGCTTCCCTTGCAGCTTGCTATGGGATTGTCCAGGTTCCTACTGGACCGTGGTTCTGTCGGAAATGTGAATCTCAAGAGAGAGCCGCCAGGGTGGTGAGTACAGAACCCACGTGTTCCTATGGGGAGCAGATTGGGGCCCTTCACGCCGCTGCCCTGCCCGAGGGATCCCAGCTCTGCCCATACCCTACAGCGTGACTTTAAGCACAGAAATTCACCCCTCGCCTTCCCGAGAGCCCAATTCTCTTTCCAAATCTTTCCCTTCGTTTCTTGTTTGTGCAATAGGAGGAATCCTCTCAGAGGGTTCTCTAAGCCGTTTCAGCGGGAGCGCTGCCAAAGGAGCTCGTAAGCAAACTGACAGCAGGAAAATGTGGAGACCTCGAGCGTAACGGTGTGCTTGTAAAAGGCTGTGGCTCTGGTGTGCAGCTCCTCAGAAAGTTTTGCAGTGGTGGAGAGCTGTCATCACCTGAGACACTGCTGCGTGGGCAATGGTCTCCTGCATGAGGGATTTGTTGCATCGAGGAAGGAAATGCCAGGATGCTGGACCAGGGCTTCGTTTCTGCCTAAGCAGCAATTTAGCTGCATGGAACGCTTTGCAAATGTTCTTAATTAATCCTGATGGGGCAGAGAAGTGGAACCCATCGGGCCAGGCGTGCCCCTGAGGTCTGTGAGGTTATAGCACAGCAGCTCCTTGCAGTGCCTGCCTGTGTGAGCCCTCATCAGATGGGGCTGCAGCAGCTGCTGCTGGGGGCCTGGATGCAGATCTGTCAGCTGTACTGGAGCCATTGCCTCTGCTCTGCCCTGAGTGTGAGACAGTTCCCTGCTTCACTTCCTTCAGAGTGGGTTTAGATTAAAGCCTGGCCTTTCTCAAACACAGAAGAGCTCAGCTGGGATGGTCAGCACTGGTGGATGCTCACGCTGCCTTCTGAGCTGGTTCAGCTCATTTTTGGGTGAAGCCAGCGGAGGGGATCTCTACAGATGTGTGCTCCATCCTCGCTGGGCTCTGCTCACTGCAGGACAGAAGTGTGATCTGCCCCACGGATGGGCAAGGAACTTGGCAAGGATGGCTGGATGGGGAACATAGGCACCTGTGCCCTGCGTCCTGTATCACAGTAACTCATTCCTCATTGGAAACGGGGGTGTAAACAAGACCAGACTCTCAGACCTGAGCTCTCCTCCCTTTGTGAGACGCCGCTTTTATGTGTGGCAGTAAAGAGGATCAAATGTGTCTCTGAGCAGCTTTACATCCTGCAGATCGTTGGAGAGCACAGGAAGGAATTTGGGTTTCGTGAGCCTCCTTCCTCCTCCCTCTCCCAGGTAAAGAGAAGCCCAGTGGAGCAGCAATGCAACCCATAGTAGTGCACACTGCTCCTCCTCACCTGCGCTCATCACAAGGGTTCCCACTTTCCTCTTGTGCTTCAGGCACTTCCAACTGCCTCCAAGGTGTCAAACAAACATCACCCCCACGGGTGGCTGCTCATTTAGCTCACCCTCACTGAAATCTGTTGGACACTGGTGGGCTTCAGTCATGCCCTTCCATCCTGCAGCCTTCCGCCCTGCTGCTCCGATCACCGAGCGGTGATCATCTTCCTTCCCAAAGCAGAGCTGGGGGCAACTTCCCATCCAAATCCTTCACCTTTCCAGTCGTAGCTACAGATGTGCAGATGGGTAAATGCATGAAAAGAATCTTCTTTGATGTAGTGTGATCAGAGTGAGGGAAATGAGTCGGGTCCTGGGCGATGCTCACAGTGCTGCTGCGGTGCCGTGGTGCAGCGCTGCCCTGGGTATCACTGCATCTCTGCTGCAGTGCTGCCTGCCTGCACACACTGCTCTCAGAGGGACGCTGCTTTCTGAGAGCAAAACCCACTCCCGGCAGCGGGACGAATTGAGATTTGTGTTTCTTTCGTTGCAAACTCCTTTGCAAAACAGCAGCGTCTTTCTTCTCTGTCTGCCTCCGTAGATACAGCTTGTAAGCAGCTTTGAGGTTCCACCACAAGCGTGTGCGTTGGCTAAATATTGACGTTTCTACTTTGAAAGCAAGATAGGAAGGTGCAAAGGATGCTGCCCTCCTTGAGAACTTTGCGGTGTCTGCGTCTGTGCTTTAAGGGAGGTCCGTCTCTTTGGTTTTGGAAGGAGCTCAGTGCCCTGACCGCAGTGGGATGCTCCCATGGCGCCGTCCCTGAGTCCACAGCCCTTGGGGAGGAGGGGGAGGGGGGGTCGGGAGCTCCAACCTTGCTTTTAATCAACCAACTCCGCTCTTTTCCCGAAGAATTGAAGTAAAAACCCCGGAGGCTGCACAGGTTGAGCGAAAGGAGGAGGTACCGTTAATCCCTGCCCGCATCCCGGCTCAGATGTGCGGGTCCCTAAAGGATGCAGCCGATGCTTTGTGCTTACCGTAAGCAGCTCGAGGCCCATCCACTTTGTAATCAAATTGTCTGGCGAGCCCGGTGAGCTGCGATGGCCAGAGGGCACTCATGTGAGGGATCATGTGAAGGCTTTAGCTGTCATTTAGAGGCAGGGCTATTAAAAGTCCTGTGTGGGGCCGATGGAGCTGTTAACCCCTCTTGTTACAATCAGAGCTTTGCTAATCGCGTGGTGGGAGAGCCGCTTTGATCCGAGGGGTGGAGGGGAGAGCGGAGGGGCCTTTTCAAGTGCAAATTTCTTATTACAGTGTCTCAGTTCACCCGGTTGTTTTTTCTGTCTTGGCTTTCCATGCTAATTGTGAGAGCCTCTCCGTCAGTCTGGACCCAAGCAGCAGCAATGCGAACTGTGTATTCCAAGCAAAGTTGCAGGGAAAGCGAGGTGGGCACTGGTTTTCGTCCCTTCGTCTCTTATTTGTGCCGTTGTTGTGAGGAGTTGAGAGCTGGGATGAGCCTCCCTGCTGCCCACAGCACTGCAGGCCCACTGGTTTGTGTCTGAATGTCAGCAGGAGGAGCACTGAGCTCCATGAGGATGCCCACCTCTATGGAAGGTCTTCAAGGATATATGAGGATGCCCACCCTTGTGGGGGGTCCTTGGGGGTGTGTGAGGATGCCCACATTTGTGGGACGTGCTCTTATTTTTTGCTTTTACAAATCTGGTATTTCTGCTAGGGAAGGAGAAGGGCTGGGAGAGGGACCCCTGTGTGTGCCAGCGTGCCCCCAAACCTCCCCAGTGCACACCTGCATATGGAAACTGAGCATCCAGAGCAGACAGCAGTGAGCAGTGCTGGGCAATCCATGGCTCCCAGCGCCCGGCTGTTGGAAATGGTACAACAGCCCCAGTCATCAGACTGGCTGGAACAAAAAAATAAAGCAAAACAAGAGAAAAAGGAAGAAAGGGAAGAGGCAAAGATAGATCATGGCTCCTGCTTATTTGCCTTCTGCTCTCTGAGTCACGGTTTTCAGTTTTGCTTCACGACCGCAAGGACCAAAACTTGTTTTTAAAAAGCCCCATGAAAGTCAAGAGCTGCCTGTGGCCCCCGGGTTGGGGCTTAAACGTGTCCATATCACACAGTCTGACACAGCTCAGTGTCTTTTTGTACCCACACCACTCTCAACCCTTCTTCCACTTCCTCTCCTTGAAAGCAGCCCCCGTCTTTCAGAAGCACATTCTAAACCAAGCACCCTTCTCCCAGCCCCGTGCCCTGGACGGGGGGCTCAGATTAAACTTGTTGTTTCTGCTTCATTTCAAGAGATGTGAGCTGTGTCCCCACAAAGATGGAGCCCTGAAACGGACTGACAACGGAGGTGAGTAGCTCTGTGCAGGGCACTGGGGTCCCAGCAGCTCTCCTGGCTGCAAAGCAGCTCTCCTTTGAGCCGCATCACCAGCAAGATGAAGCTGGAGGCCCAAAGGATGAGAGCATTCTGCCCTGAGAAATCAGTTTTCAGAAAGGCTTCCATACCTGCCTGCCATGCACCCTGATAGTGCTGAGGGAGATCTTTATTCTGGTGGAGAATAATATGCAGAGAGGAAGCCCTGAGGCCTGCATGTGTTTTGCAGTAGTGTCTGCTAGAAAAACCTTGATGCAATGGCATCCTCACGTCGGAGGATTGCTTTGTAATAGCATAGCATCTTCCTACTGTCATTGTGTGGTTTGGGCAGGTCTGTGCAGGCAGGCACAGCAGGTGTTGCACACGTGTCACTGTATGCACACAGCCTGAGTGCTTTGAGTGCTGTGTGGTTCTGTAACCATAGAGCCCAGCTCTGCCCATCCGAGTGAGTCCACCCTCATTCTAACCAATTTCTGTCAGTGCAGTCAGCGTACCAGCATGGATCAGCCCCCAAAGGCTCCTGACCTTCAAGCTTTCTCAGTTCTGTCCCGACCAGATGGAATTTCAGCTTACACATCTGATTTGGGAAGTGTCTTGGTGGCTTCAGATTGTAATCTCGCTTGGCTTGGTGAAAAAGAGCCTTCTTCAGCCACTGATAGCAGCCAATAAAGGGAGCTTTGTTCCTGCTGGCGTGGGACTGCATGTCAGACTCGCCCCATCAGCATCACTTTCTGCTGGGACGCTGTCCACGGCTCTGGTTAGATCTGCAGCACTGGGTTATGAGTCCTCAGGGTGCTTTGAAGGGCACTGAGTGCTGCACGGTGCTTTTCCCTGAAGAAACCTCTGCGTTCTCCTTTGTGCCTGCCTATCTTTCTCCCACAAAGGCTCTGATTCCTAACCAAGTTACAACAAGCACCGTTTCAAATCTAACATCTAACTCAAGTTGGCTTCCTTCCTAATGCTCTCTTCCTTCTTTCCCTGCCGTGCCTGACTGCAGCCCTATGTGAGCAGAGGGCTCTTCTGGGCTGCAGCACGTTTACCACAGCTCTGCCTTTGCTTCCCCAGGCTGGGCCCACGTTGTGTGTGCTCTGTACATCCCCGAGGTGCAGTTTGCCAACGTGCTGACCATGGAGCCCATCGTCCTGCAGTACGTTCCGCACGACCGCTTCAACAAGGTGAGCCCTCCTCGCTCCCTCCCTGCCCCAAGCATGCTCACCCTGCCTTGCTTCGTGGCTTCTTTTAGTCCTCCGTGTCTCCTGTTGAACCTCCGGGTACCAAGATCTCTTTAAAAAGAACTCCCAAAGCAAATCCTTCTTGGAAGCAATGTTTGATCCCCTCTTTTCCTCTCCCCCAACGCGGCCACCTGCACAACCTCCCAGCTCCTCCAAGCTGTGAGCTTATTTTGATCAAATAACCTGTTTTGATCAAACGCATTCGTTGTTTGGGGCTGAAGAAGGGATGCGTGAGTTGCGTGCGTGGCGCGGAGAAACAACCGCAGCTGCCGTCACGGGAGGGAGACGATAAGAGATCTGAGCTGCTGAAAGCTTTGCCTCCTGGAGAACAGCGGGAGCAAAGCAGCCAGCCTCTCTGAGAGCTTCCTTTTCCTTTTTTTGCAGACCTGCTACATCTGTGAGGAGCAGGGCAGGGAGAGCAAGGCAGCTTCTGGAGCCTGCATGGCGTGCAACCGGCACGGCTGTCGGCAAGCTTTCCATGTCACCTGGTGAGCTCCATCCACTCTGCATCAATCCCTGCTGCTGGTTTTGCTGCTGTGGCTTTGGGGCTGCAGCACACAGTGGTGTAAGGCGTGGGGCAAATCCCCCCCGTGTGTGTTCTGTGTGAGGGATATCTCATCCGTGCTCTGTTTGCAAGGGGAACTTCCCCAGGAAGGCTGAGGTTTCAGCAAAGCCTTCCCCGGTGAGAACGAGGGCTGGGGGTTTCCCTAGGACTGTGTGGAATCCAAGGAGAGAAGGGATGAGTCACGAGCCAGGAATGTTCCTTTTCCAGCACAGTATCATCTAGATGATGTGATATTAAGGGCTGATATCCTCGTGTACCCCTGCAGCCTGGAAGCAGCATTGCCCATCAGCACAACGAGGGGATTCCCAGCTCTGTGCAGATTCCTTCCTCCTTGTGTGTCTTCTGCTGGAACTGCTGCTGCTGCCTTAAGGAAAGCAAAAATTGCTCAGCAGTTTGGTAGAAAAGCAGTGGCAATTTTAACAGTCTTAACATGGGTTTTAAACAGCCTGAACTCTGCTTCCCCATCCGCTTCCCCAAAAACTATTAGCCAAACAGAATGGGAGGATTCACGACCTTCCCTGGGTATCCTGCACTGTTGTTTGCCCATTTATGAGATACGACATCTAGCTGTGTGCAATTGTTGCTGTCCTCCTCCTGATTGCATGTATTCCAGTGCCCAGATGGCCGGCCTCTTGTGTGAGGAAGAAGTCCTGGAAGTTGACAATGTCAAGTATTGTGGCTACTGCAAGTACCACTTCAATAAGATGGTGAGTTTCCTCATCCTTCCAGTGGGGATTATCTTCATCCTGCTTTTGGCTTCCCTGATCCCACCTGTGTGGCTGCAGAAGTGATCCCAAGATGTCCAAGGGATGTTTTCTCTTAGAAGGAGAGTGCTGAAGTGCAAGGAGATGGGACAGGAGAGCAGGGAGTTAGCATGCAGCCTGAGCAAGAGGTGTGACAGAACAGCCCGAGCGTCTGCCGTAGGACAGGGAGAATCCAGAAGGGATGTGGAGTCATTTGAGGGGTATTTGAGGCAAAGGATTTCCCCTATTAGTTACAGGAGTGAGAGGCATCCTTAGCAGACACCTGCTCTCCCCCTCCAGCAAAAAGGAAACCCGACCTCTCCATAGTGTGTGTCTCTGTGGCTCTTTGTTGCCTGCTTTGCCCACTTCCCTCCCTTCTTATCAGTGCTATCACACACTGACTGCTGTCTCGAGCTTCCCCTCCAAGCTGGAGGACCCCCTCCCCTGCCCTGCAGGTACCCTCAGTATTTGATGTGATGCAGCTCAAATCTGGGATGAATAGCAATATTCCAGAGCCTGGGCAGCCTTCCCCACAGCCCCACACAAGGCCAAGGACTGCATGCTGTGTCCCAGGGGGGTTGATTTGTCCAAGCAGCGCTGCTGCTTCCATTTCTCTGATCTGCAGGATGGTGTTTTCCACGTTAAGAGCAGGGGAATCTGATGCAGATCGAATTCAGTCCCGCGTGTTGGGAACCATTCACTCATTGCTCAATGAAAGCTGGGCTCTATAAAACTGTTCCCTCTCTCTTTTCCTGACCCCCACCCCTGTTTTCCATGACTCCCCTTCCCCGCTGACCCCAGAAGACCTCACGGCACTCTGCAGGCAGCTCCTTCATTGCTGGGAGGAGGAGCAGGTCCACGTCCCCCACCCAGGAGAAGCACGTGTCCCACCACGAAAGGCCAAAGAAGGTGAGATGTGTGTGCAGAGCTCTCAGGCAGAGCGATGGAGGTGAGGAGGGGAAGAGAGCGCAGGGAGCGGGGATGGATCCTCAGGGAGGCTCTGCAAAGAGATCTGAACCGTGGCTGTGTTTTGTGATGGGAACAAAGTATGTTTGTGCATGCAAGTAGAGCATGGGGAATGGAGGCCTACCTGTGCGACCTGCTGTAGGGAACCTGCTTTGGCAGGGGGGTTGGACACGATGATCTCTGCAGGTCCCTTCCAACCCCTACAATTCTGTGATTCTGTAATGGAGAGCCAGGTTGTGTGTTTGGATTATAGAGGTGTCCTGGCAGAGCACACCCATGAAATGCACAGCTTTCCCATCTCTGTGTTACGGCGCACTGACGCCGTGCTCTGGGTTCCATCTGCAGAGCTGATCCTTGGGAGTACTTTGAGCTGTGAGGTTAAACACAAGAGCTTGATAAACTGGGGGTCATTATCCTGATCCCAACTTTTAGGGCACTGATGAGTAAACTACGCTTTGGCCAGCAGCTTAATTGCCAGCAGCAGCACCACTTCCCATGACGTAGGCAGTGCTTTGTGCCACCTGCTTCAAGTCCACCCCTGAAAAGAACTTACATTTGCTAAACAAGTATTTAGAAGAGCACTGCGTGCCAGATCTGATGAGTGCCAGCGTTGTTTGTTTAACTGTGCTGGTTAAGGTGTACTCATCAAAACTGCTGCAAGGTTACAGGCCATGTTAACAGCACGCCAGGGTTCATAATTAACCAGCTGAGCCACGTGATGAAGGTTTGTATTTCAAGGAGAAACAGTAGTGAGCACAGAGGGCAGAATCCCAGCAGAGCTCTGGCTTTCCCCCTTTGCACCCCAAAACAGGGATGTAGAACCTGCAGTGGAAATAACACGGGAGGGAATGCATTCAGTGCTGTCAGTTTTTAATCCTGCATGGGCCAGGCTGTGGCTTTTGTTTGGAAGAACCCAGAATTATTGCAACAAATGACCTCTGCGTGTTTTTTTACTGTGGTCAAAAGCCAAATTACGCCGTTGTGATGTGGTGACCCGATGGAAATGGCAGCGTGGGTTTTCTGAGCCCTGCCCTCAGTGTGGGGCTGCCTGCTTGTTTTCATGTGCGTGCTCTCCCCTTGTTGCAGTAGGCATCCTCAGCATGAATAAATGATGCTGAGTGGGTAATCACGGTGACCCACATCCAGCAGCAGCCCTTGGGTTGTGTGGCCGGAGCCTGGTGGATCCCAGCCCAGTTTCCAGGCTTTCAGAAGCCATGTGGCCATGGTGAATCCCTGCTGGCACCCTGCTGGCAGGCTCAGCTGAGAGCCCATAAGCTGTGTGGGCAGGAAAGCCGTCTCCCTCTTTATTTACAGAGGTTATCCTTCAATATCCAGCTTGAAACACTGCCCACCGTGCCCTTGAGGTGCTTGGGAAGCTTGCCCAAACCTACCTGATACGTGTGCAAACAAGGCAAGCCTCACTTCCCAGGTCTGCACGTACCCAGTGACACCGAGTCAGTAAATTTCCCACTGGTGACAAGGCTCAAACATATTGGGAGTGTTTACTCCTCGTGTGTGTGCTCAGCTGCTGGGAGGGGAGGAGGAAGGAGAAAGAGCATCTGTGCATGGGCCGGGAGGTTGGCACGGGGCGAAGCGCTGCTCTGGAACGCACTATTTTTAGGCAGGAGCAGTTGGGGGGGGTGGGGTGGTGGGAGGGCAGGGCTGGGTGATGGGCTGGGATGATAGCTGGCAGTGCAAAGCTGGGGGCTGGCAGAGCTTTGGTGTGCTTGCACAGCTCTGGCTGGGTGCAGGCTGGTGGGTCGGGCGGGCGGCGCTGCTCGCCGGCTTGGAAAGCAGGTCAGCGCCAGGGGGAAGCAAAAGCAGGAGAGCTGGGGTTTTATTTATAGCTTCCTGGTGTTGCTTGGCACTATTGTTGGCCTCCGGGCTCCTTCCGAAGCATGCAGAGTCCTTCTTGTTGCTGTGGGTGCAGTGAGGCCCCGGTGGGGCTGGGAGTGCTTTGTGCAGCTGCAGTGCCAGGGCTGAATCGTCTGCATCCCCATGGGGAGGGCAGGCAGCAGAGTAGGGCTGCAGGGGCAGAGCAGCAGGGCTGGGGGTTGTAAGGGTGCTTGGAAGGGAGGATGAGGGTGCCCAAATTGGGGCTGAGCGCAAAAAGGAGCTGAACCCAAAAAGGAGCTGAGCCCAGATTGGGGTTGAGCCCAAATTGAGGCTTCCCACAGAGCTTTGGAGTACATGACGTGCAGAGCGTGATCTAACCGCACGCGTTGCAGGGCAGCTGCTGCACTGAGCTGCTGCAGAACAGCTTTATCTCGAATCCTTCCACCTGATGGCTGTCATGTCGCATCCTGCACCAGTGCTGAATGCTCACTGCACAGCACAGTGTGTGAGCTGCAGGCTGCAGGTGCTCTGCATGGCATTCAGTGCCCCCACCCAGAGCAGAGCAGCGCTGCTCGCTTGGGCTTTAGAGGAGCACAAAGTGAGGAGCACCACACTGAGCCCCTCGGCTTCAGCATGACAACAGAGCTGGGATTTGGGCTCCTGAGCCCTGCTGGGAGGCAGCCTGGTGTTTGTGAAGCATCTTGTTCTCTGCAGGACAAGGAAGATTGTGCTGTGGGACTGCAGGCCAGCACCAAGATCCCCCGCCCCTCTAATGATACCAACTCCAGCATTTCCTTCTGTCCTGAAAATGAGAGAGTTCCAAGCTTTGGACATGCCAGACGTTAGAAAAAAGATCCCCATTTGTTTCCTTGGGGTTGGTAGTGCCATGTGTGTGCTCTGCCCTGTGGGAGCCTTTGCAGGGTTTGTTTAAAAAGAGATAGAAAGAAAGGAAGAAAGGAACAAAACAATAGCTAAACACCAAGAAAATGCTGGAGTTGAATGAAGTGCAGATGTTCTGTCACCTATATTGTCTGCTGGAAATGCACAGAAAAATAAATGACTATGCTCCATGGAATGTAGTTTGTCCCACCAGGAGTGAATGGGAGCACAGAAACACTGCAAGATATTAAGGCATAAACTCCTGGAGCAGAGACACTCATCCAGTGCTGCCCTTAATGAGCAGAGATGCTCCTCCAGTGCTGTTCTTACCAAACTCCTGGAACCCATGAGCAAAATTAGGGGACTGAACATGGGAGCTGGTTATGAGTGGGGAGAATCCCTGTCCTGGAGACTTGCAGTGATGCAGGAAGCAGAGGCAGAGATTGGAGCAAAGGAACTCACCTGCAGCTGTGCCCCAGGGCTGGGGATGGAGCAGTTCTGCACAGTCCTGACACACAGAGAGCTCCCAAACTGCTTCCCTCACTGCAGGGTGGGAGCCAGGACCACGGCTGTGTTGCCTCCTCCTCTCTGCAGCCCCCAGACCCATTGGATTTTTGTGTTTGCCTTTGGGTTCGTGATGGAGGCCCATCTGAAGCGCTTGGAGCTTTGCTTCCATGCAGGCAGTGAAATGCAAAGCCGACACTTTTCTCCACTTGGGAAGGTGTGCTGAACCTCAATTTGCTCTAATTTAGCAGAAGGGCCTTGTTTGATAGCATCCTTGACTGCTTCCTGGGGCCGTTTGCAGTGCAGGTGGGGGATATAGGAGGGGGTTTGGTGCCCCTCTGCCCAGTGCCTTCCTCCTCACTGCGGCTGCCATGGCTGTAGCCCAGAGCCTGGTCTCCTCCTCATCCTCCTCCTCTGGGCAGGGAGTTCAGAGAGCCTGGGAAAGAGGAAGGGAACAGCAGAGCCCACTTGGCTCTTCCCAGCTCCTGGCTCTGCCCACCCTCCTTCCCTGCCTCATCTACTTTTAATGATCCCATTGCCAGTGTCCAGCAGATTAGAAGAGGGGGCTCTGGGAAGGGGAGCTGGCAATGGAGGGAGCAGGAGGAACAGTGCACAACCCTTGTTGGCAGCAAGAGCTCCTGTTTCATTCCTTCTCTGCTGGTTGAGCTTGAAGGGAGATTGTGTGGCTGGCATTGCCTTGGCTTGGCTGTGCTCCCCCCCCCTCCCACTATGGCCTGCCCTGCCCCATGCCCACACACTAAGCTCCAGCTGCTCAGCCCTGCATGGGGAGAGCTTATTTTCCACCAAGTTTGTTGCTGGGTACGGGTTTGTGCTCTCTGCATGCCCACCTACTGCAGGGAGCACCCAGCAGCTGCAAGGTAGGGCTCAGCTTTGGCTTGCAAAGATGGGCTGTGGGCAGTGAGAGGTTTCCTGCACACGGTGCATCCTCTTTTTCTCCTCCTCCTCCTCCTCCCCCTGTGGGTTCTGCTTCATGGCATAGCCATGCAGGTCTGGAAAGTTTCCTGGAAAGGTTTCCAGAGGAGCTCTGGGGAGTGCAGGGCACAGCAGAGCTGGGTGCAGAGCAGGCGCTCGAGAGGCAGGGGATGGTGCTGCTGCCCTCTGCTCCTCCTGCCCTCCCTTCTTCGCACCCTGTGGTTCTGGCAGGAAGTATTTGGAGCCTTCCAGTTCCTGGAGGGAACCCACAGCTGCTGGGGGAGGCCTGGGTTGCCTTAGTGCATATGAGCATGCAGCCAGGAGGAACCGAGACTGTTCCTGTCCCGGTGCCTTTGTGGGCATCACCATCCCACCAGCACCTCGCTCTGCCCACCTGCCGAGCCATGGCACTAATTACCAGGCCCATTTAACACGAGGCACTGCATTGCTCTGCTCCTCACAGGGCTACAGTGGCAGAGCACGAAGGCTGCTCCCTGCAAGGCAGATCTGCAGTTTGTGTGCAGTTGCTCAGCACATGGAGTGAGGACGAGATCTTCAAAAGAGCTCCGTGCCCAGCGTTTATTATTTTGGAGAACGTGATGGTTTATTCAAGCATCTGAATGGGAACTGAGGCGTTCCAGAAATCTGGTCCCTATTGTGCAGGCAGGGCTCTTGCTGAATACGTACATATGTATGCACTCCTACAGAGAAGCAGAGCGCTGCTCAGTTGGCTGTTGCAGACTTTACCAGCAGTGAGGGGAGGCTGTTCAGCCAGGAGACAGGCAGCATTTTGGAGCTGGAGGATGTGAATTTGGCTGTTACCATCACTGTGACATTGTGGGAGGTTTCATGGCTCGCAGGCAGGATGTTCCTCTCCTTCCCCACGTGGCTGTGTGTAGGTGTGTAGGCTCAGTGTCACAGCTGTGGTTTGGCTCTCTCTTGTCCCATCCTGACTGTGAATGTGAAGTTAAATGATTCCAGCACTGGCTGGCTGGTACTGACAGCATCATGCTGTATTCCCCCCTCTTGCACCTTCAAGGCTGAAATGCATCTGGGGGTCTGAAAGTGAGGGAATGAGTTCTGTGTTGTAAGGAGGTGTGGGGCTCCTGCCTTCATTTCCATGGCTCTTGCAGTGTGTCCTGGTTTGAGAGCACTCATCCGGGTGGGATTGGGGTCCCCAGCTCCTCTTTCTGAATGTTGAAGAGCTGGGAGTTCTCTCATCCCGTGCACCCTCACTTCCCAAGTTGTGGAATGAGATACAGATATTGAAAAGCTTTCTTGAGCTCATCAGCACTCTGCTGTGTGCTGTCAAGTGAATGCAAATGGTTGCTGCTGCATCCCATCCCTGCCATAGTGTGCTGGCAATGGTAGCCCCAAGGCTCTGAGTGCAGGAGGAAGCAATCTCCATCTTCTGGAAAGTCCCTCCCATGTGATTGCTGTGTTCTGAACACATTCTTGAGGTGAGGATTCGGCTCCTGGGGTAAAACAGGCATGTGGGGGAGTGGGACCCTGCTTAGAGCCCATTCTCCAGATGATAGAAGCAGGGTGGGCAGGACTCGGTGTTTCTCAGACCGTGATTTTTCCTTGGTTTGTGATTTGAAGAGTCCCATCTTTCAGGGATTTTAATGAGACAAAGAAGCGGGATGGAGGAATGAATCTGAATAGTCTGCCTGCAGTTCGATGGGCCCAGAGCAGCTGTTCTCTGCTGGGAGGGGAGGTGGGGAGGTGGGGAAGGTCTCTGGGTTGGCATCTCCGCTGTGTGAGCTCTTAACCTGTGCACGTGCAACGTGTGCTGAGGTCAGGATCCTCCCAATGGCTGCACAGGGTGGATCTGAGAAACCTTCCAAGAAGGTGTGAGAGTGAGGTTAAGGGGCACAGAGCCCCAGTTGGGGAAATAGCAAAAAGGAAAGCTCAGGTTGCTTGAAATCAGGCAGAGCTTGTTAAATCCTTCCCTATCTTCTCGAGAGCATGAACTGATTCGGGGGCTTCTGTTGATATTCTGCGCTCCAGATATTGGCTGCAGCTGGAGCAGAGATGGTGGGACACTCCCAAGCTGGGATGTGGGGGAAGGGACTTTGGGCTCTTGTGGATGGGTGGGGAAGGAAAGAGGAATATGAATGTATGGTTGTAAATCCACCCCTACACACCCTCCTTTCTTTTCCCTTACAACCGCTATTCTCAGCAGAGGAAAAATAAGCCTTCCAGTGCTCTCTGATTTCTTTTGCAGAGTCGTAAGGACAAAGAAAGACCCAAACAGAAGCACAAAAAACGTCCAGAATCTCCCACCAGCCTTCCAACACCCACGGTGCCCATCGCTGCAGAAAAGGTACTGAGCCCAGGAAAGGGTGAGAGAGGGAGGGGAGGGGGAACCCGCACTCCTATAGGAGGTGGGATGGAGGATGCAGAGGGGCAGAGAAAGAGCTTTTTGTCCGTTGTTTGTGATTCCTGATTCGTTCTCACTCTGCTCCCACCTCGGGGATTTGGCACAGCAGCTGCCTGGGTGTCTGTCAGCACTGACAGTGCAGTGATGGAGCTGCAAGCGCCCGCCTGTTCTGCAGCAGATGTTCAGATTTAAAGCTCTCGCAGAACAGATAAATATCCATGATTTGGCCTTTCCTGCTGCCACGCAGTAAACAGCTGAGGCAGGTAGGTAAGCAAGGCAAGGCTTAGGGGAGGAGCTGCTCTCCTTTGTTAGTCTGGGTCCTTCTGGGGTAGGATTGAAGAGGATTTGCTGTGTGGGGCCAAGCCTGAAGCAGGGAGGAGATGCAGGAGAGAGCTGAGATGGCACAGTCAGTCTGAAGGGGCCTCAGGCTGGGAGATACAGCTGGATGGAAGGAAGAAATAGCTTCTGAGCTTCAGTCTGAGCTTCAGTCACTCCTGGTTTCTCTGTACTTGTATCAAGGAGCTCAGCTCTGGCTTTGGGGGAGCAGCAGATTCACCCAGTTAACAGAGCTGTTGGGAACTGACGGCCTAAGAAGATTATTTTCAAGCTAAACTGGAATCCAAAGCCTGACTTCTGGGCAGCTGAAGTGGTGGCACACAATTACCCACTGTCTCCTCAAAGCCCTGCCAGACTTTACAAACAAGGATGGAAAGGTGAACTCAGTTTGACAAGCAGCTTGCAACTCTGGAAGCTAAAATGCAGGGGATCCTGATGACTGTAGCCGTGCTTGAGTGACAGCATTTTGGTGTTACTGTAATTCCTCATAACTGAGAGCATTTCCCTTGCTTTTTTATTTCTTTTTTGTGTGTGCAAAGTTTCTCAAAGCATTGTTCAAACTCTGCTACCCAAAGCACCCACTCTGGATCCAGTGCTGCAAAGCCTGGGTGAGGCTTTCTGGATGCTTGCACCAATGCAGCATGGCAGTCCTTATGTAAGACCTTGAGACACGCTGATGCAATACATCCAAACAGGTTTTCTCTTTGGAGCCCAAGCCATCTTTGTCCTTTTTTAAGTCTTGGATAGCACTGCTCACCCCAGCAGAGTGCATTGGGGTACATGCAGCAAGCAAGAAGCTGGCACTGCTGGTGTGACAGTGCAGAAGAGCGCAGTGGGGATTCCCACTTCCCCATTTCCTCAGGCAGCCTGGCCTCTGCTGCCCATCTTTCTTTAATTTTGCAATGCAGATTTATTTCTCCGTTCCAATTCTCACCTGCTGCGTTGTCCACCCCGTGTTCCCCTCTTGAACCACTTAGCTGCAAAGATGCTTTGATGTGGTTTCAGTCTTCCTCTTGAAATCAGTCGTGTTACACCTCTGGCTTCTGCCTCTCACTGAAGTGCTTCCCTGTGTCTTTTAGGAATCTGAATACCATTCATATCTCTTGCTTGGGCCCAGCCAAGCTCCTGTGCTGTCACTGCCTCTCTCTGCTTCGGGCTGTGAGCAGACTGAAACACAGAAGTGACCTCAGCTCTCGTGTACACTGGAAACTGAGAGTGTGAACTTCCAGCGTGGAAATGATTCTTCATGACACCTCTGAGCCCTTCCCCTGCCTCCAGCATATGTCCTTGTGCAGTGTGGATGGCATTGCTCTCAGAGAGGGGCAGATCCTGGGGCATCCTCATGAGAGCATGAAAGTCCCCCTGAGGTGCTTGTGGAGGGGCTTGGGGATGCTTTTGCAGTGGGATGGGTTGTAAGGAATGGACCTGTGAGGTGCAGTCACTCATGGTCATGCTGGTTGCTTGCAGCTCCTGCAGACTTTCGGGGGAGCACGAGACAGGCAGGAACCACCCCTCCCCTCTGTGTAATGCTCTCTGGCTGTGTTAGTTTCTAGCTGTTTCATGTGGCCCATCCAAACCTTCGAAAACACTGCCAGCTCGTTATGCTTTGGAAAAGCCTCTTGGAAAGATGGTATCCGCAGAGTGAGCTCAGGGCAGAGGAGGGTTTCTTGCCAGCACAGTGGCTCACCAGCAAACCTTTGCTCTGCCAAGCAGCAGTCTCTGCTCTCAGGGTCGGTCTGTGTAGCTGGGGCTCCGTGCTGGCTGCATGGGTTAGCAGGCACAGCAAGCAGCACGCTGCAAGCCCTCACCTTCCCCCTGCAAACCCCCCTGGGGAGCCGTCCTGCCGCTCTCTGTTGCACTTGCAGTAAATCTGCAGGCTTGCAAGCCACCCCAGCTGCCTCCTCCTGCCAGCTGCAGCCATCACAATCACTTGTTGACACACACACACATGCTACGTGTTTGGAGCTGCAACATCTGGCTTTCTCTGGGGTTTGTAATGGAAGTGGCGGATGCTGGGGGCTCCCCGCACCCACGCGGCCATCAGGTGCCGGAGGAGGTTGAGGGGGTGGTCCTGAGGTTTTGCAGTGTGATTTAAGCTCTGGGGGTCTGCCAGCAGGCCTGGAGCTGACAGATGTTGGGAACCTCTGTACCGTGCCTTGCTCAGGCAGATCCAGTAGCTGGGATGGGGCAGGGGTTGTTCTGGTTCCCCTCTGCTCGTCAAAGTGCGTCTCAGCATTAGATGTTTGCAGAGAGCCTTTCAGCATCCCTCATCCTGACACGGGTATGAATTTCCCAGAGGCATCAGGGAGCAAAAAACACAGCCTTCAGCCCATCTCCATCGTGCCTATAAGGAGCACAGCACGGTGCTGGCTGTGAGCAGCTCGGGCACTGATGCTGCAGCTCATCCAGGCGCCGCAGCCCAGAGCTCCCAATAGAGATGTGTTTGACCTCTGCTGAGCAATCTGGTTTGGAAGGGCAGCTGATGCACGCAGCCTGCCCGAGTGGCTGCTCCAACACGTCGCATCTCCTGCTCTCAGTGCATTGTTCCTTGTTTGCATCCTCCCTGCTTCTCCTCGCCAGTAGTTTAATCCAGGGCAAAGCAGCTCTGCGTTTTCCACGCTGCACAGCCTCCCCCCACCCCCTTCTGCCTTCCGTCAGTGGTTCCCTCTAGGAGCTCGTCCCTCCAATCAGAAGGCAAAGAGATGCTCTTCTGATTTCCCATCAATAAATTAATGAATGAAGAGCGCTCGGGTGCTGCACAGTGTCACAGAGAGGCCAGCAAACAGGTACAGCCCCACGGGGACAGCGAGCGCCGGGGGGAGGAGGTGAATGCATGCCTGTGCTCTGTGCAGTGTGGCTGGAGCAGGAGTTCCCCTCCTGTCACCTCCAGCTGGGGCAGCAGGTTTGTCCTGCTGATGTTTTTCCCTCTCGGATGCTTAAAACAGCTCCTCAAAATGGAACTGCTGCCTCATTTTGAAAGGGTGCTCTCGCTTCCTCTGTGCTTCTCTGTTGGTTTTTGGTGTTGTTCCCCCCCCCCCCCCCTTCTGCTGCATGCTCTCCCCCTTGCACACCTGTTTGCAAAGCACACAAACCAGTGGTGTGTCTACACGTAAATGCTGGAGGAAAGGCGATGGTGCAGAGGTTGGGGCTTCTGTTTCTATGCAGTGCAAGCAGCTGGCATGCAGGCTTTTCTCCAGCCCTGCTTCCTCCAGCTGGAGGATCTCCTTCATTAGGGATGCGGTGGGATGGCAGCCCTCGTTACTGTTATTAATATTGGCACTCCCCATTGGGTCATGGCTGTGTTGCACTTGGCAATCCATGTGTGTGTCCTGGAAGGCTGCAGTGCCACACAGAGCTCCTTGGGGCAAAGCAGAGAGGAAACAGAGGCGCAGAGGGGGGGAAGGGATTGAATTTGGGGGCTCAGGCCCTTGCCCTGTGCGCAGCTCTGTGTGGTGAGGGGTTCCTGGTGACACCATGCAGATCCGTTTGGCAAATGCTGTGCAGGACACGTGATAAAATCCTGCTCCCCAAATGTGGGGGGGGGGGGAGGGGTCCATCAGAGCAGCCTGTGGGTTCAAGCAACCCTGCAGGTGGGTTTCTGCCCTCACCGCTGCCCCCTCAGCCTCTCTCCCCCTCCTTTTGCTTTTCTTTCTTTTCTTTTCTTTTTTTTTTTTTTGCCTTTAATTTTGCAATTAAGATTTATTTCCCAGCTCAGATTTCCCCCCTCCCACCCTGCAGTAATTCACTGCTTGCCCTGCACTCCCTTCCTGACGCTCCCCATTTAGAACATGTCCTCTCATGCGGTTTCCCTCTGCCCTTCTGTGGCCTCGTGCACCTTGTGTGAAGTTCCACAGAGGTAAATTTATGGGGCTGGGGGGGGGGGGATGCGGGGCTTTGCATTTGTGCTGAGGCATGAGCCATCTCGTTGCTGTGACTTCCCATGGCCCCCAGACACCTCTCTCCTTTCCCCCCCTCGAGGCAGATGTGGAAAGTCAGAAAGATTTTCGTGCTCCCTCTGAGGTCGTAAATCAGGAAGGCTTAATCTCCTACATCCAGGAGTCTGTGATGAGAAAATACAGATTCCCCCCTTCTCCCCCCACCCTAATTTCCACCACTCCCTTCCTCCTGTCTTTCATATTCCCGGCACATCTGGTGCGCGTTAGGCAGCCAGCTGTTGCATTGTGCAGAGTGATGAAACCATGTGGGAGGAATGGGGAAAGATTTCTATCTGGGCACTGAAGGAGCATCGCCAGCCCTTTTTGCTTTAGCTCTCCCTGAGAAGAGGTCACCTGGAATCAATGCCAGGAAGGTATTGTGCTTCTCTGTGTCTTCCTTCTATCTGCTGCCATTACAAAATAAAGGGCGTTTGCACTGATGTGCAGCTGTTGTGTTTGAGGCTGTGGCCATCAGGTTGGAGCAATATCTAATATCCATTTGCTTGCAGAAATACCTTGCAAGAAGTGATCTTTGCTGCTCTTTTGGCTTTGAAGTGATGTGAAGGTGAAGCTGTCACCTCCCATTGTGGCTGCCCAGAGGGATCTGGTTTTCCATCCATTCCACCCCCCCTTGCTCAGCTCCCACACTTCTCTCTCTCACACTCCAAGCTCCTGGATTTCCCAGCATCTGCCCGGCTTCTTCACCCCCTGCTTCCCTGCCTCCTGCAGGCTTACGGGGGGTTTGGGCAGCATCTGTTGTTAGATGGTCAGATGCTGTGCAAAGTATGTGCTGCAGTAGAGGTGGAGCTCCCTGGAACGGCAGCAAGAGGTGGTGTGAAACTCATTGCAACTCCCATTGCAGCAGCAGGACGGCCGGGTTCTTGCAGGTGGAGTGACCTCGTGCAGAGAGCTGCACACCTGAGGGATGCAGCTGAGACGTGCATTTGAATTGCAGCCAGTTTCAGATTGTGTTTGGACCAAACAACCCTCTGAGCGTGGGTGCTTCGCTGCGGTGCCTGTGCTGTCGGTGCCCTGTTTCATTTCCTGCAGTTAGATGGGATGAGCGTAATCCTCGAGTTACAAAGACTGGTGCCACCAAGGAGCAGCAGAGAGGGATGCTGTTGTTCTCCTGGGGGTAACGTGAGCTGGCCTTGGCTCTGCGGGCAGAGAGAGCAATTACTTCTCTTGAGGGGAAATTGGTAAAAAGAGCCCCTGCTGTGGCCACATCTGGTTCAAGTGAGTCACCTCCGTGTTTGCTGCTTGCCAGGGCTCCACCAGCCACCATGAGGGGAGCAAAGAGACCTCAGAGGTCGGGAGATCAGAGGTGAAAGGCAAGAAGTCCTCGAGTCATGGCAGCAGCCACAAGGGGAAGAAGACGGGGAGCGGGAAGAACTCGGCTGGGTTCAGCTCTGCATCTTCCAGCAGCACCTTCCAGCCTGCAGGTAAGGGTTGAAGGAGGAGTGAGGGTGAAGGGGGGAATGGTTTGCTTTGATTCTCGTTGGTATCTCTGTATCAGTTCAGCAGGGCATCAGTTCAGAGCCCGTGCTTTGTGACTGATTGCACTTTAACCCCTTCGAGCAGAAGGGGGAAGGTGTCGTTGCCCCTTGCTCTGTGCATGGGGGGAAGAACTGTGTCTGATGCTGCAGCCCTGCTCCTGCGTGCACCTTCTGCACCGCAAGGGAAAGCAGATCCAGATGTCTGAGCAGAGGGAGGAGGAAAGGGATGCTTGCTCAGGCAATGTGGGCAGCACCTGCCTCCGCCTCCATAGGTGGGACTGTCTGCAGCAGTGCTGTAAGGAGTGCTGGGGGAGAGGCCTGAGCCACGACCTGATAGCTCCATATCCCAGAGCTTTGAGCTGATACCTAACAGGGCTCCCATCTGCTCAAATTTTTTTAATTATTATTATTTTTTTGAGCTGTTGCCAGAACTGCTTGCAGGTTTCATCCCCTGGGAATCTGGTTGGGGCTGGAAGAAGGGTGATGTTGCAGGGGAGCAAACACATGTGGGTTTGGGTGGGGTGAAGCCACTGCTGTGCACCTCTGGTGCTTTCTAGAGAGCATCAGAGCATCTGGGCAGGGCTGGAAGGTGGCAGAGATGTCTGTCAGCTCGGTGAGCAGCCTGTGACCAAGGAGCTGCCCTCTGACCGTGCTCTCATTGCACCGTGGGCTGTGTTATTGCCACCACAAGCCTTCCTATATCTGCTTCCCCTCTTCCTCCCCCAGGCACCTCCTGCAGCTCCTTGCAATGCTCCCAGGATTTCATGGCGTTCCCCAAGCTAGAGCAGGACGACGAGAAGTACCGCAAGCCCGTCTCCTCCTCTTCGTCTTCCCACTGCTCCCCGCTGTATGAAGGCCAGAAGGGGGACATCTTTGAGCAGAAGGTGATCTTCTCAGGCTTCGGGTCCATCATGCGCTTTTCCACCTCTGCTGTGAGCCAGCCGAGGGGCCGCGATGCTTCCCCTGTGGATTACAAAGCCTCAAACCCCATCGGTGGCCCTTCAGCAACGGGCAGCGCTGCCACAAGCAGCAGCCACAAGCGTATGCCATCCCTCAGCATGGAAGAGGGAGAGGTGCTGAAGGAAAAGAAGCACAAAGGCAGCAAGAAAAACAAGCACGGGCCTGGCAGGCCAAAAGGGGGCAAAAGCAAAGAGATGTTGGGTGCCCAGCTGGCTGGGTCCACGTCGACATCCTCGTCGCCGTTCTCTGGAGGTTCTCTCGTCAGCTCCAGCATCAGCAACTCTTCGCGGCCCTTCAGCCACACGGGGAACCTGCCCAGCCTCAGCTTGGAGTCCCCGCTGCTGAGTTCAGGTATGTTTCCCCCCGAGGGCTCCAGGTGTGCTCCTCCCAGCCCTGCTCCCTTCAGCATCACGTCTGTCTGGTGCCTGAACCTGCCTCTGCACACTGTCCGGTCCCCATCCATCACTCCCAGGAGCGCTAAGAACCCACCTCCAGTCTTCTGTTCCCATCCTGGTCCCCATGGTTCCCATCTTCATCTGCATGCTTGTTGGAACTGGGCTCATTTCAAGCCTGTCTTGCTCAAGTGCTGGAAAACCTCAGCGAGTCAAAGCTTCCTTTCTAAAGCGATGCAGACAGGGATATTCCCAGGCCAAATTGGAACAACCGCCATCTGACCCCAAATGAGGGATTCTCAGGAGTGGTTCAAGCTTAACCCTTCTTTAAAAAGCAAAACCTTTCATCCTGCTGTGGCCACATCCACATAGGGTTGGAGGATGGGCACACCATTAACGCTGCAGAGAGGCTGTCTGCTGCCCCTGGCCTGGGAAGCCAAATCCTGAGCCCTGATCTGGCTTGGGAAGGGTGAGAGCAGCGGGATGTGCGGCAGGAAGGGGTTAAGGCAGCATGCAGGGGAGGGGCCTGCAGCTCCAGGCTGAGGTTTGACACTGTTCTGGCAGCAGAACTTGTCATCGGTCTATTGTGGGTTGTTTGCAGATGCTCCAATTTAGGTCAGATTGCAAAGGGGAGCGGGGGTGGGGTTAATTCTGCTGCATGCACCCGGGAGCTGCGGCCCATTTGTTTGCATTGCCTGAGAGCGGAGAGGAACTGCAAGAATCATTGCAGCCTCCTCCACCATTACAACCTGAGGCCAATCTTTTTCTTTTTTTTTTTTCCCCTCTCCCCCTGGAACAACAAAGGAACGTTTCAGAGAGGAAGAGGCTGCCAGGGCCTGCCCTCTCCCTGCTCATTCTCCCATTCTTCTGCAGAGGGATGTTGGCAGAACCAGCGCTGGGCTGTGTGCTTGTGCAGCAGCTCCTTCCTCGTCCCTCTTCGTCCCCCCTAACCCATTCCTCTGTCCCTCTCCCTCCTCAGTCCCCGAGGGCAGTGGAAGGGATCAGGTTAACTCGGCAGCAGTGCTGTCCCTTGGCTGTGAGTCTCCCTTCTGTCACCCACGTGTGGCTTTGGTGAGTCACTCAGCGCTGCTGTTTCTCAGTCCGACTGTATCGGGGTGCAGCAGGCAAACGAGGAGGGAAGGCTGGAAAACTTTGACACCTTTTGACAGGGCTGTCATTGCTCTGGGCCACGAGATGCTGAGGTGTTCATCCCACGTGGTCCTTCTGCAGTGCCACCCTCCCTTGCAGAGATGCGCCCTGCAGCGCACCAGCAGCCCCCAGGCCTTGCTGCTGCTGGGAGCCTGCCTCTCCAACACGTTTCCTCCCCTCGCAGGGATCTACACCAGTAACAAGGACCCTATTTCCCACGGGGGTGGAGTGCTCCGCGCTGTTTGCAGCACACCCCTCTCCTCCAGCCTTCTGGCACACCAGGGCACCGCTTCCATCCCGCCGCTCAACCGCTCTCCTTTCGCGAGCACCATCCCCACCTCCTCCTCCTCCTCCGTCTCCACCACGCAGGTAAGAGCCCTGGGAGCAGGGTGGGCTGTTGTTCAGGAGGGCACTGCACTGAGCAGGGCTGGTTTGTGGGCACAGAGGAGCTGCTTTTTCCCTTCCTTTGCTTTGGAAGGGAGCTGCCAGCTGCACCTTCCTTTGGCATCACTTAAAAGATGCAGACGGAGAAAGTTGCAGGCAGTTTGGCATCACAGCAACAAAGTTCCCTTGTCTGATTTACTTCAGTCTGGAGACTACGCTGTTCTGTTGGGTTTTTATACCTGAAAGATTGCAGGAGCGGCATAACCCTGAATCTGTTGTTGCTACAGCTCGGAATATCACTCAATGCACACAACAAACCCTGTGTCCAGGGCCCCCTGAGGATGCTTACAGCCACTTTGGGGTGAGAGGAATTGCAGCCCGATGGCTCATTACCTCCACTGCCAGTACAAGGAGCACAGCTCAGGTGGCAGAGGTGTGTGCTGTGTCCCTGCTGCTCACCACCAGTGCCAGCCCTCCGGCACGGGGAGCTCAGTGGGAGGCATCTCAGCTGGGTGGGCTGCACGCGTGCCAGCGCACGGAGCCCCGTCCTTTGTTGGGAGCTGGTGCTGAGAGGTGTTTTACAGGGAGGAGAGAGTTAGTTTTACAGCTGCAGCGTTACTCAGCCTGTTCAGACCTCTTGGCACGGAGATGGGGCTGGGAAGATTTTCAGCTGTCTGCTGGGACTTCCAGGGAGATATTTTTAACACTCTCTCTCATGACCGAGCCGAGTTCAAGAAGTAATCTCTCCCTTTCCCTCCCTCCTTTCTCTCCCTCCCCACCCTCCCACCTCCCATTGCCATGCAGGTGTTCTCTCTGGCAGGTTCCACGTTCAGCCTCCCCTCCTCACATATTTTTGGAAGCCCCCTCACATCTGGGCTGTCCATCAACCCGCTCTTAAATCAGTCGGAAAGCAGCCGGGCAGGTACGTGAATCAGAAGGTATGTGAGCCTGGGCTCCTGGAGGGATCTCCCTGGAGGAGTCAAGAGAGCAGCATCCATAGTTGTCCATCTGCCCCCCCTCCCTGCTTGCTCCCACCCCACAGATGTGGCACACAGGGCCAGCAAAGAGGCACGGTGGCTTTTCCCCCTGTTTGCCCCATCCAGCCCTGTATGACCAACATTTGCTGCTCTGTGATGCGCGTCCCCGGAATTGCAAGGATGGAAATCTTTCCCTCCTTCCACACCCCAAAGATTTCCTTTTCCCAAAGATTCGGTGCCTTTTCACCAACTGAAGCTGGGCAAACCCGCTGAAGAACTGTTCTGAGCTTTTGCTTATTCAAAATCCTCTGAAGGGCCTTTTTGTTGTTGTTTAAAACACTCTTAATTTTCATCTTCCAGTCCTGTTTTGAGTTACTTTCTGCTCTTCCCCTTTGGCTTTCTCATGAAATGCAGCAGAATCTGCTGTTTTCCACTTCCAAACACGAACGTGCCAAGCACCGAATTGCTTACAACTGCTCATTTTTTCCCACCAAGGCAAATCCATTTTTCTTGGAAAGCTGCCTGGTTCATAAGCAGGAAACTTGAAGCATCGTAAGGCTTTTTTTTTTCTTCTTTTTTTCCGAGCAGAACCGGCCTGCCTTTCAGTTTGCTCTGTAGTTCAGCAAAAGCAGTTAGCAGCGCTCGTGCTTAGCCCAGAAATGCTGGCAGCTCAGCATGTTGGATGCTGGACCCGTGGAGGTAAAGCTCTGCCCAGCATCACGTGGAGCAACGAGGGCTCAGAATGGCACAGAGCTCAGTAGGGATCACCCTGAGCTCTCTGGTTAATCCACGGTGCCCTTATTTGCCTTAACCAGCGTGCATGCCTGCATGTAAAGCACGAGGGAACACGTGTGTTCACGTGTGAGCCTCTGGAAGCTGCCTGTGTGTTGTCTGCGTGTCTCTGTGTGTTGCTGGCAGTGTTGTGTCTGCATGAGTGCGATGGGAAGCGCAATGAGTGCACTGCTGACACCAGTGGAGTCAGGGCTGCAGGAGCTGCGAGCCAGGAGTGGTCACCTGGAATGGAGGAGGGAAGGGGATGATTCCAAGAGTTATTCCTCCCCCGCGGCCATCAGCGAGAGAGAGGAGAGGACCCCGCTGCCACTTCTCTGGGCCGTTATTGTGGTGAGGTGCTGACAGCAGGAGGAAGCAAATGGGCTTTCAGGAGCAGCCTTGTGGTTCAGGCGCGGCGCGGAGGCTGAGCAGCCCGGCTTCAGCTCCAGCCCTGCGGCCGATGATGGATGAAGCAGGCAGGCAGAGCCGTCCCTGCTCAGTTTCCATCTCCAAAATTGCTCTTTCGGGTTGAGTGGGATCCTTCTGATTCCAGCCAGCCTTCAGAACGGCTCCTGTTGTTTGTCACCTTTAAAGGTTCTCTATCACCATCTCCTCTCTGCGGCAGCAGAGAGTCGGCCAGGTCGGAGGCCATTAAGCCAAATTCCTTTCTTTTTTTCTTTTCTCCCCCCTTTTTTTTTTTTCCAGTGGGATTAATTAACATGCATTAAACCTCCTTTGCAGCCATTTTCACTTAAAACTGTGACGACTGCTTTAATCCCAAGTCGTTAACAAGGTGGCTGTGACGTTTTAAGTGTTCCTGCCTTGTCTTTCATACAGATTACCTTTCCTGGGAGTGTCTGTGTAGACAGATCCCCTGCAGACATAGCTTTCATTGCCCTGATATTCGAGTCCTTCACAACTTTAATGTGATGTAGGAAAACGGTGTTATCCTGTCTTACAGATGGAGGAACCGAAAAAACTGTTATCCCTGATGCAGGTTGATACCAGAGTGCCTTTGGCAATGCAAAAAGTCTGATTCCTATCTTCCCACTCCCTCAGCTCCTGTCTGGTTCATCCACCCACTGCTTGTCCTGGATCCTGCCTCACCACGATGACAGCCCAAATGCATTTATCTCCCGTGGCTGTTTCAGAGCCTCTTTTTCATCCTTGTTGCCCTGCAAAGGGCTGCCTCTGTTTGATAACTCAGTTATCTCCCAGACTTGCAGCCAACAGAATGGTGTTGGCCAGGAGATAGCTGAGCGTGGAGCTTCAGAATCACATGTATGGACACGGCTGCAAGAAAACAAGGCAGCAACAAGCAGACAGTCAGAGCTTGGCTGAGTGCTGGTCTGCTGGCATGTTAAACCTGTTGTGGCACAGCTGCATGCCATGGGATGTGGATGTGTTCTGAAGGGTTTAGGGGTGAAAATGATACTGGGATGAACTGCTGTGGTGGGACTGCTCCCAGGAGCTGAGGAAGGCTCCGTGCTTCGTGGCATCCCCTAAATCCAGCCTTGTTGGCCTTCTTTCCATGTGTCCTTACACCAGCACATCGCTGCAGTGGCTTCCCCCCATGTGGGCTGACCAGGTGTAGTTGGTGGCTGAGAAAGCACCACCATATGGGCGAGGGGCTGAGGGCTGCTCTCATTCCTACAAGCCTTGCTCTTGTATTGCTGGTAACCAATGCCCCGCTCGGGGCATGGTGGTGTAAATCACAGTGCTTTGCAGTGCTCCCTGCGGGAGACTTCCTGGATTCCTGCACATGAGAAACATCTCTTCTTGTGTGAGGAAGAGGAGGGGCAGCCAGGCGTCGGGGTGGGCTGCCCCCACTACACCTGGGTTGCCCAGAGCAACACTAGCATGTGCTGAGGGGCTGCAAACAGCAGATAAATCCTCCTCGTTCTCGGTGACTGTTTGGATAGGAGATGTCTCACACACGAGCACAGCAGCATCATAGGGGAGTGGGGCACTGGAACAGACTGCCAGAGAGCTGTGGGTGCCCCATCACTGAGGGGGGGGGGCTCTAGGCAGCCTGAGCTGGGGAGGGTTGGGGGGAGCCCGATTAGGGCAGGGGTTGGAACTAAATGATCTTTAAGGCCACTTCCAACGGGGAGCCGTCCTGTATGATGTGGAAAGGCTGGAGGAGCGCAGCTGGCTTGGGGAAGGGATGCTGGAGGCTCAGAGAGCCGAGCGTGTCCGTGCCCGCGAATCATCCTCAGCAAAGCGAGCATCCTCAGCTCGGTGATCACAGCCTTCCTTCTACCCGGACAGCCGGGCAGCACCCAGCCGTGACCTTCCCTGGGTGACACTCGGGGACACGCGGCCCCTCCTCCGTCGCCTCCCCCCGGGGGCGGGGGCTTTGCGGGCTCTGCGTGACGCAAAGGTTCGGCCGGGCTGCTCGGTGCTCCCATCTAGCGGGGACAGCCCGGCTGCGGGCACCTGCAGCACCGAGCGCTTATGAACGGGGTGCCTCTCTGTGCTTCTCCCCATCCAGAGCCCGACCTGGAGGACTGCAGTTTCGGCTGCCGAGGGACTTCGCCCCAGGAGAGTCTCTCTTCCATGTGAGTGAGCTTCGGGTGCTCCGGGAGCCGTGGAGGAGGTGGGGACGGGGGGGGGGGGGGTGAGCCGGGGTGGGGAAGGAAGGCTCGTGTCCTCCTCCTGGGGAAGGCGTGGGGCCGCTCCGGCAGCTGGGCAGGTAGAAACGAGGGATCTGCTCCTGAAGAAGGGATGAGAAGAGCAGAGCTGGGAGGGGTGTGGAAGAGCTGCGGGGAGAAGGGAGGGGAGGAGCGCGGTGCAGATGAGGGGTCTGACTGCATCCCCCCCCCCGCAGGTCCCCCATCAGCAGCCTGCCGACCCTCTTTGACCAGACGGTGTCCTGCAGCAGCAGCGGGCAGCTGGAAAATGTCCCCCAGGCCACCCCCAACATCGAGCAGCTGCTGGAGAAGCAGGGCAATGGGGAAGCTGGCGTTAACAGTGAGTCACTGTGGGGGGGGGAAGGGGCTGCGGGAGGAGCGATCCTTGGGTGAGTTTTGGGGGGGTTTTGCCCTTAAAAAACGGAGCCAGGCTGGGGGATGAAGCACTGACCTGTGGTGTGGGGAGGAGCTGGCAGTGGGGCTGCGTTCTGGGGGCCGACCTTCCCTCGCTGTGCTCTAATTGCAGCACCCCTGTGTGCTCCCCCTTCTCCTCTCCCCTCTGTCCCCCCATCTCCTCCCCGGATTCCATCCCTCCTCCCCCTCTGTCGTTCCATTGCAGTTGTAGAGATGCTCAAAGCTCTGCACTCGCTGCAGAAGGAGAACCAGCGGCTCCAGGAGCAGATCATGACGCTGACAGCCAAGAAGGAACGTTTGCAGCTCCTCAACGTCCAGCTCTCTGTCCCTTTCCCGGTGGTGACCAGCAGCAACGGGCCTGGCAGCCAAACCCATTACATCCTGCCCAGCAACGGTGAGGGGCGGTGGGAAGCATCGCTCTGTGCCCCCTTATAGGAAGTCCTGGGGTGGGCAGCGGTGGGGTAGAGGCAGGGAGGATCTGACCCATTTATGTGGCTGCAGCGACTGGTGGCAGAGCCATTGCTGTGGCAACGTCAGGCTCCACCCCTGACTCTCTGTTCTCACTTCTTTCCTCCTTATAGTGTGCAACAATGATTCCCTGAGCATCAGCAAGAGCCCCCCCTGCAAGAACAGCTTTGGGATTGAGAACTCGCTCTCCACTTCCTCTGAGGTACACGGGGGTCACACGTCCCCCAGCCAGCTGGGAAGGGACTGGGGAGGGAGCAGAGCAGTGCAGTGCCAGTGCTCTGACTTGGTGTCCAGCTCACAAAGCCTCGTAGCCGAGGCCCAGAAACCAGGCTTCTTTCTCTGGAGTTGCTCATTCTCAGTGCTGAGGGTTGCTGAGCCTGCAGGCGAGAGGTGAGAGTGCTTCCAGGCTATTCCAGCCACGCTGTTAGAGATCCTGCAAAGCACGTCTGAGTTCTGGGACCTCTCTGAGCATACGCCTGCACTTGCACTCACAGCCCCCTTCCCACCTCCAGCTCCATCCCCCCCAGAGCTGAGCCAACCTTTCACAAGCTGCCCCAGTCCGATGCTCTTATGTCCGTTTCTCCCCCAGGACCCTCATTCAGGTTGCCCCAGCAGGAGCAGCTCTTCCCTGTCCTTCCACAGCACTCCTCCACCCCTGCCCATGCTGCAGCAGAGTCCTGCCTCGCTACCCCTTCCCGGGGTGCAGCAGGTGAATGGCCTGGCCAGGGTGGCAGGCAGCGGGCTGGGGGGTGGCACCACTGCCAGCCACAGCCTCTCCACGGTGCCCATGGTGGACGGCCTGATGGGGACCGTGGCAGGAGGTCAGCAGATGCCCATCAACGGGATCCTGGGGAATCTGAACGGAGCTCAGGCCGCCCAGCCTCCAAGCGCGCTGACGCAGGCGAGCGGCCCTCCGACCTTGCAGCTCTCCACCAGCCTGAGCAGGTGAGGACGGGGAGCTCGCGGGGACAGCCGGGCCCTTTCCAGCAGAGGTTTAGCACCGGGAGGGAGGGAGGGATCCTTGCACACGCAGGACCAAGATGGGCTGTGCTGATGCTGGCCGCTCCGCTCCCTTGCAGCATGCCGAGCCTGAGTCCCCTGACAGAGCAGCAGCGGCACGTCTTGCACCAACACGAGCAGCAGCTCCAGCAGCTCCAGCAGCTCCTGACTTCTCAACCGCTTAATCCGGTAAGCGTGCCTGCTGGCACCTTCTGTCTGACGGACTTTTTAATGGGGAAGGCCCTGGAGCTGGGATGGGAAGCGTTGCTCCCTCCTGCAGCCGAGCCTCCCTTGCGGCCGTGTGCGTTCTCCCCATCTTGGTGCTGCTGCGGGTGGAGCGAGGAGGAAAGCTGCAGGCAGGAAGGTGTGGAGGGGGCAGATAGGGGTGTGGGCTTTGTTGTACAAAGGAGAAAAGTTTGATCTGTGTTTCCCACACCCTGAGGGTGTGAGAGCACAGCAAAGCTAAGCCAAGGTGAAAGCAGGAGCACTGTTACCTCCTCCTGCCGAGTGAATGCAAACCGTGTCTGCTCCTGCTGCAGATACACCAAGGCTCACAGGAGAGGAAGAACTCGCTGAAGGACACTGCTTGAGTGTAGAGGGAGATAAGCACCAAACTGCTTAGCTGTGAGGCAGGCGAGCCGTGCCTGGGCACACTGACATGGAGAACTGGATGTGGGGTCAGGAGGAGGGCTGGGCAGCTGCTCTGAGGGTCCGACCCCATCCTCATTGGGGGAAACAGCAGCAGGCAGCCGTGGGAAGGCTGCACAGATGGATGGTGAACAGAACCTGGAGTGTTTGAGAGCTGCATTCGCTCACCCTGCAGCCACTCCATGCTGCCCCTCGCTGCCGTGCGGTCACACAGGAGCGCTGACAGCTCCCGTCAATGAAGCTCTGCTCATTTATGTCTCCCATGAACTCGGCCCCCTGCTTTGCACAGATTTCTGGGTCAGGCTATTTATAACCAGGGAAAAAGCAAATTTCCAAAGGCTTCTCTTTGCAGCGGCTGATGTCACCGTGTCATCAGCTGCATCCCTATGGGCATGGAAACAAAGTCAGCTCTCAGCACGCCGCATTGGTCGATGGTTGCTATAGTGACTTCTGCAGTTCAGTTGGGTGCCAGGGCATCCCTCCAGGCTCAGGTGTGCTGTGGTCCTCATCCCCAGAGCCCGGCTCACTCAGATCCACCCTGGGGTGCAGCAGAACGGGCTGGGAGGGGTAAGCAGCACCCAGCATAGAAATCCAGGGTAAGGAGTGCAGCAGATTTAAAATCCACGGATTGGTTGTTTGGAAAGCACTTAGTGGACATGCGTGTCCACACTTCAGGAACCGATAGGGTCAGAGAGGCGATGAGCACAGGCTGCTAACGAATAAAACAAATGGTTCCTCTCTGTACCTGCAGGGATGTGATGAAGGGGACTTTTGCCTTATCCCCATCCACAGCGTACTGATAAGGCGCCTGGCTTCTTTGCCTTAGGTGTCACCCCTTCTCTAGCCTTTTGTCCCTCCTTTGATGACTCTCCTCGCCTTTCCCCGCAGGAGCAGCAGGCCCTGGTGTTCCAGATGATGCAGCAAATCCAGCAGAAGAGGGAGCTGCAGCGGCTGCAGATGACGAGCTCATCCCAGCTATCCATGAGCAGCCTCCTGGCAGCCACCTCCACCCCCCTCCTGCACTCCAGCACCAGCGCCCCGATGACCTCGGCCCCCCAGCAGCCCCCCAACAGCAGCTCCCTCATGGCCTCCCTCTCCCCCCAGCAGCTCAACCCTAGCAATGCCCTCCTGGCTCCACCACAGGCCACCCCACCGCTCAGCGCTCCTGGGAGCAGCCTCATGGCTTCGGGGACAGGCATCCCTCCCGTCCTCACAGCACAGACTAACCCGTTTCTCAACCTGCAGGCTGATGGCAACACCCCAAAAGGAACGGTGCGTATGCTGCTAGCGCTCCCCTAAACCCCACTGAGCTCCTGGTGCCGGGCGCCGGGCGCCGCACGTAACGTGGGGGAAACCAGGGCACCACGTGGGCAGCAGAGCCGGGGCGCTCCGCTGGTTTTGTGCCCTTCTGAGTAGCCACTGTCACGTCCTGATAGACCTCCAAGGACTTCTGTAGGCCCAAGGCAGGGCTGTAGGTGGGCACAGAGGCTCCCAGGGCACCCTTGCTGAGACGTGGATGGGTAGAGTGCCCTTTGCAGTGCCAGCCCTCGTGACGGAACGCAGAGGTGACTGCGTGCTGAGACCCAGGGTTTAGAAAGGAGTCTTGCACCCGAGAGGAGAGGTCTGCAGCCTCTCTGTAAAGCATCCTTGTACTGCGACACCAGCATCGAGGGATGGGGCGATACTTTTGCGATTCCTCCATCCCTCCCCTGGCCTGTGTTTGTATCCAGAAGGTCCAGCCCTGGTTGGAGACGCTTAGGAGCAGGCAGAGGGGAAGCCTAGGGCTCCCTGGTGTGTCTGTTGCTCTCGGTGGAGCCTGAGAGGTGGCAGTGAGCAGGGCCAGCTTGGCAGCACAGCAGAGCTCTCTGTTTCTGCCCCTCCGGTACTGATACCTGTCTCCTCTGCGTTTCTCTTTCTGTTTTGTTTTGTTTTGTTTTAAAGAACATGAATGAAAAGGGAGCTCCTCTTACCCAAGACAAGGGCTAAGCTCCCTCTCACCCTGAACAAACCAGCAGCCAACTCCTCTCAGCCAGGGGGAATGTGGCTTTCCACAGTCAGCAGCTTTGGTACTGTTAGAGCAATGAGCACAAGGCTTCCGAGAAGCATTTCCTGCTGCTGGGCAATGCCAAGAGGTGCTTTGGAAGACAGTCCGTCTCCGACCAAGCCCTGCTATCGGGAGGAGCGAAGGTGGGGGGCAGCTTTGCCACGCTGCTCCGTGCCCCACGTGCTCAGAGCGAAGCCGTGTTTCCAGACAGAGTAGAGGAGAGTTAACACCGCGTGCCACCAACTGCTGTGAGCACAGGAGCGTGTTCTGTGTGTGCACTGAGAGCACGGAGCATCCTCAGCCGAGAGCTTGGTGGAGGGGGGGGCACCCCCTGCTGAGGACACTGGTGTGCAGTGCAGGGGGACGTGGAGGTGCCCTCGGAGGCAGCGCTGGATGGGACCCACCTGGGGATGCTGTGGTGGTACCTACGTGGTCTGCTCCTTCCCGCTGGGGAGGTGAAGATGTTCCACAGATGTTCTCGCCTGCTGGGCCCTTGGGATGCTCTTGGGAGCCGTCACACGATGCCCTTTACACCTCAGCTGGATGCAGCCCCAGCCTGAAGGACACGGGTGGTGGAGCGATGGGTGAGGAGTGGTGTTTGGAGAGCTGCAAGCTGCTGCTGCTGTAAAGGACGCGGCCATGCAGCTGCTGGTGGGTCAGTGCTGTGCTTGGGGCGTGAAAAGCACATTCCTGCTCCTCGTGCTGCCTCTCTTTCCTTCTAAGATGTCCAAAGCCCGACGTTCAGCTTGCAGAAAGGGGCTGTGGTCGGTGTTGCCCCATCTCAGCCGTCTCCTGAAGGCGCGTTGAATCTGGCTCTGACATCCCAAGCCTCAGCTGGGCAACAGAAACGTGCGTGCATGGAAAAGACAGCCCCAGTCGTGGTGCATCCTTTCCCCACCACAAATCGTTCCAGTCTGGCAAAAAAAACCAACCAACCAAACCAACAGAAAACCAACCCCAAGGAACGGCGTTCTTCCATGTGTCTTAGGCACTGAGAGAGGGGATCTCCAAGCAGCAGGGCGTCGTTGAGCTCCACGTTGGGGCATTGGAGCCTTTGTTCTCTTCCACCTTTTGACCTTAACTCCGTCTCACAGTCCAGAACCTCAGCGAGGAGCTTCTGCTTCTGAGCCCGGATGTCACAGATGGACGGCAGGGCAGGTGGGGCTGCTCTGAAGGTGGGGAGCATTACGTCAAACGTAGACGTGCTCCTCCTTTTCCTCTTCCCAGTTCTCCTGGGGGGGAGGAGGTGGGGGACAGGGGTAAAAACTCCAGCAGACAGAAGCTCCGAGGGTCTTAAAATGCAACACGTGGGCAGACCTGAATCTTTTTCAGCACATTCCCACTGCCCCTAACTGGTTTGCACTATTCGAATTTGTCAGCAGTGGGTCTGTGCTGATGGGAATAGAAGGCTGGTGGTGGGCAGATCTCATCTGTGATGTCTTTTTTTATTATTTTATTTTTTATTTTTTCTTATTTTGGTTTGGTTTGTTGCTTGCTGTTTGGGAAATGATCACCCCGAGGGTTGGATAAAGCTAAAGACCAGAGGGAAAAGCTCCATTCTGATCTGCCGTTCTGCAAACTGGGCAGCACGCAGCCGTCTGCTCGGAAATACGTTGTACACCGTTTGGATTTCAATTCTTGAAATGCAGGAAAGCTGACGTTTTAACAAGGTTAGGAAGGATGGGGATGGCAGCTAACAAGGAAAAATCGAACCCGAGGACAAAAAAGCTCCCCCTCCTCGTGGTCCCTGCAGCGCAGCCCCAGCTCTGAGCACCTCCTCCCCGTTGCATCCATTGGGGCTGGGGATCCGCCAGCAGCTGTGAGCTCTGCCTGCTGCTGCCGTGCTCACCTGGGGCTCTGATTCAATTCTGACGACGCTTCTTTTTCTTTTTTGTTTGTTTTTTTTTCCACTGGGAGGCCCCTATGGGGAGGTGCCACCTGCTGACCCGCTTCCCCGGGCGCATGCAGGCTGCTGCAGAGCGGAGCCACGTCCCAGCTCTGCAGGGAAAGACCCGGGAGCAGGAGGGGAGCAGGGAAGGAAAGGGCTCGATGGGTTCCAGCGGCGTGGCTCTGATCAGCAAATCAAAGCCCTTGCTTGGATCCGTGGCTCAGCACCCCGATGCTGAGCGCCAGCGGGAAGCCGTGCGGTCAGGAGAGGCTCGTAGGGCAGGTGAGAGCCCCGCAGATAAAGCACTTACACATTCCTCGGGGCTCTTGCTGAGATGCCAGCCCCTCTCAAGGCCCCTCCTGCACCCTGAGGTCCCTTTGGGCAACGGGGAGGGCGGGGGGGTCAGCAGCGAGCACCCGTATGGCTGTGAAGAGAGGAGGAGGAGGAGGAAGGAAAAGAAAAGCTAAAGATGAGCTGTGTTTCAGTTGCACTGGGGTACGTTTCTTTACCCATTTTGATGCTAATGTCTCATTTAGTACGTTGCATGTGTCTTTCTTTTGTTTTGTTCTGTTTCGTTTTTTTTTTTTAATTAAATAAAAGAGGAAAAATGTGTATATTTTTGGCAATTTAAGGTAATGTAGCTAAGATATATTTTTTTCACGCTGCTTGACTGTTCTTTATTATAATAAATAATATTAATATGAACGTGGGAGGCGTCGTTAATGCACCTGAGGGGGTGCAGCTGCTCACAGCCCCAGCTCCCCAAAGCTGGAAGGGTCTCAGGCTCAGTCCGTGGGGACACAGCAACACTTTGGGGGTGGCACAAAAGCTCTCGTTGCCCCGTTTGTCTGCAGAGCTGCTGCACAGCACGCAGCGCCCCGTGCAGGGGGCGAGAAGGGCTTTGCAGATGTGCAAGGACACCGAAGCCGGGCTCCTCCAGTGCAGCAGTCCTTGCAGCCCAGGTGAGCGGCTTGCATTGCTCTGCTGCTTGCCGGTGCCCTCGGCGTTGCACTGCAGTTGCTTGAAAGGGTGAAGCAGCAGCTTTCCAGCAGCAGGCCTGAATGCACAGCTCACAGGTGTCCTCTTGTCCCCTGTTTTCTGGGCAGGAAAGTTGGAGGGAAAGCAAGGAGGTTTGGGAACAGCTGGAGAAGGGAAAGACAGGATAGGAAAAGGAAAAGAAAAGGGAAGGGGGAGGAGAAAAGGGAAAGAAAAGGAAAAGGAGAAAAAGAAAGAAGAAAATGGGGGGAAAAATGAAAAAAAAAAAAAAAAAGATGAAAGACG